GTGGGATTGGAATGAAAGATGTGAGGAAGCTTTTGAACTTAGTAAGGAAATGTTATTGAAAAGTAAAGCTTTGGCAGTCTACGATCCTTCAAAAGTGCATTCTTATGTGGGAATGATAAATTTTTATGGAAAATTCTTGCCAAAAGCTAGTACAGTGTTCAAACCATTGTATGATTTACTTGCCAAAGATGCTGTGTGGGATTGGAATGAAAGATGTGAGGAAGCTTTTGAACTTAGTAAGGAAATGTTATTGAAAAGTAAAGCTTTGGCAGTCTACGATCCTTCAAAAGAATTAATTTTGATTAGTGATGCCTCGCCTGTTGGAGTTGGTGCTGTTTTGGCTATCAGAGAAGGCAATGAAGAGAAACCTGTTGAATTCATGTCGAAGATGTTGACAATTACCCAGCAAAGATATTCTCAGTTGGAGAGAGAGGCGTTAGGCATCATCATAGCTTTGCAAAAATTTCATAAATATTTGTGGGGAAGAAAATTCAAGATTGTGACTGATAACATGCCTTTGAAATCCATGTTTTCCCCTACCAAGACAACCCCGAAAGTGTCTGCCCAACGACTGCAGAGGTGGTCTGTTATTCTGGGCAACTATGATTATGACCTGGAGTACAGGAAGTCCAGCCAGATGGGTGCAGCAGATATGCTCTCAAGACTACCTGTCAAAGAATATGCTTTTGATGAGACTTGTAATTTTGTTGTAGATCTTCCAGATTTGCCTGTGTCTTGTGAGACAGTTATCCTGGAAACCTCTGCTGATCCGCAACTGTCTGCAATGAAGTCCTACATCCAGAAAGGGTGGCCAGCAACCTGCCCAGCTGCAGATCTCAAGACATACTTTGATGTAAGGTATGCCCTGTCTCTTGAAAATAATTGTATACTTCTGGGTGACAGAGTAGTTGTGCCACCAACCCTGCACAAGAAAATACTCCAGAACCTCCATGATGGTCATCCTGGCATGGTGCGCATGAAGCTGAGGGCGAGGTCCATCATGTGGTGGCCCACCATCACCAAGGACATCGAGGACTTCGTGGCGCGCTGTGATCCTTGCAGCAAATCCAACTTCAAAGCTGTATCTACGGAGCATGTGCCATGGACTCCCACTACTCAACCATGGGAGAGGATCCATATTGACTTTTATTTCCTGAATCAAGTGACTTATCTTTTGTGTGTAGACAGTCATTCCAAATGGGTTGAAGTTTGGAGTATGTCTAAAACAAATGCCAGTGCTGTAATAGATAAGCTTAGTTTGTGTTTTTCTACTTGGGGCCTACCTGTGGAAATAATGAGTGACAATGGACCGCCTTTCAACTCTGTTGAGTTCATTGACTTTTGTACTAAAAATCTCATTGTTGTTTCCAAGAGTGCACCTTACCATCCTGAAGGAAATGGCCAAGCAGAACGCTATGTACAAACTGTGAAAATTGGTCTAAAGAAGGCTCTAACCAAAGATGACAATAATCCTGTGTCTTTAAAATTGTCAAATTACTTGTTAGCTTTAAGAACCACTCCTTCCACTGTGACCAAAAAATGTCCCTGTGATCTTATGTTAGCTTATGAGCCAAAAACCCTAGTCAATGCCATTAAGCCTAACTTAAGAACCTATGTGCCGTCCAAACGTCAATTTCAGATCAATGATCTAGTCAAAGTGAAATTGTCTGCCAAACATGAGGTATTTGATGCAAAGATTCTGAAAATTGCAGGTCCAACGCTTTTGCATGTTGAGAAGTGTGACGACCACAAGGTTGTGCAAGTCAGCACAAATCAGATTCAACCGAAGCCTACTCAACCAGAACAACCTGAAGTTGAGGCCACACCGAGTGTTTCCTTTCCTGAACGTGACTTTCACCCCAAGCCTGTCTTGTCTCGTGTCACACCCAAGCCTGTGGTGACACCTGCTCGTCACCAACCTGTGACACCTGCTACCCCAAGACCCATGATGTCTCCTGTCAGCACACCAGTGAGATCTCCAAATGTGGTTAATGACTCTCAGGTTTCGAACCCAAACGGAGTTAGAGGCACACCAATGGTCACCACACCATTACCTCAACGAGAACTTCGATCCAGAGCTACCCTGCAGAAGCCTGAACGATTCAGAAGCAATGACTTTGTCTCCTATTAATTGCTTCATTTATGTTTGTTTTGTTGTAACTTGTGATTGTTCTTAAATGTCAAAAATTTAACCTGTTAACCTGTTTAGTGTTTCCAAATTTTAAAACATTCCATTGTGTTTTATTTGTTGTTTTATGTGTGTGTTAATAAAACAATTTTCCAGGGGGGAGTAATGTGGTATCCCTGCCTTTTAGTTATAAGTTTCATGTTGGCTACAATGGCCTTATTATTGTTCTTCTTGTTTGTATCCGGTTCCTCCTTCTTCTTCAATAAATCTACCAAGATGGATACCATGTGAATTGTGCTTTGAATTAATTATCCATCCAAATCCGTGAATGAATGAGAGACACATCAATGGCGACGAGATAGACGAATTCAAGTGTGCAAAGTGACTGTGTTGTGAAGTGATTAAGTGAAGATTTCTGTGTGAAAAAAGAGATTTGTGAGAAAATGTCGGACGACGGACAAAACCAAGATCAACCACATGTATCGGCAACGTTTGATGGACGAGTTTCGGACATCGAGAAGTTTAATCCAGATGAAGACACTGTGGATGAGTGGCTTGATAGACTTGACATATATTTAGAGTTGATGGGGTACGAGGAAGATCATGAAAAAGTGAAAGCCCTACTTCACTATGCTGGGAAAACAGTGTACAAGGTGCTCAGCAGTGCAAGTTTGCCGGGTAAGGCGAAAGATCAGACATTTGAAGATTTGTGTGAAATGTTCAGAGATAATTTTGAATCTGTGCCGCTCGCTAGAGCTTATAGAGACAAATTGGCTCTCAGGAAGCAAGGAGCAGAAGAGTCAGTAACTGCGTTTTCAAATGCACTCCGTGTGCTAGGAAGCAAATGTGATTACGAAGCTGGTCATTTAGAAACTGTTCTGGTCGACACCTTCATTAGAAACCTGAAAAATGCTGACATGAAGAGGAAGTTAAACAAACTGAAGAAAATTGAATCGGACACACTAGCCAAGTGCACCAAGGCAGCGAGGGCATGGGAAAGCTATGAAGAGCAGAATCAATCCAGAACAGAAGAGACTGTCTGCAAAGTATCAACAACATCTAATCGTGGTAGAGGTGGACAACAATTTCAAAGAGGACGAGGTGCCTATCTGGCAAA